TCTTTCAACCACCACTTTTTCACTTTTCAATATATATGTTCACACAAGCATCCTAACTTCGCCGTCACCTGGCCTTTAGCACCGTATCTTCTCACATTTTTTGTTGCCTCTGCCACCTTCTCTCGTGATGCTCAACTACAGGTGTAGCTAGGACTGAGAGGATATATCTCTCAGTCCAACACATTTCCTTCCCTACTTGTCGAACATACGTCTTCTTAGGGATGAGAGGGGTCAAGAATATATCAAGCCTTTATGATACAAGAGTATTATAAAAGAAGAACTTGCTTGCCAAACCATTTCTGGGATCATGTGGTCTTGGTGGTGGATTCATCAACCCAAAGTTAACTAGCACGAGTCTCAGCTATCTTCCGAGAGGAAAGCTTGATAGATGCAACTTTTGTGTCACTACTATGTGGGGGTGTTCAACTAGAACACAAGCATAGTAGTTTTGTACTACTGTAGGTTTTAATTTGGGAGAAACTTCCATTTCTTATGCATTGGGGTATTCTCGAAGCAAAATAGCCAATGTGATTTTAAGTAGTTAGATGGGAGTATGTGCTACCTGATTTGGATTCTTGCAACCAAGAGATATTATTTTGAAATTGCGAATTTATTTTCATCGTCAACAACATTTTATCAATTTATTATCTGACCTTCATCTAGTTGGCAGTTTACATTCCCCCTCCCGCGACCACAAGCTTTGCAAACGTGACTCAGATTGCCATGCTACATACTAACAGCATGTGACATGGGGCTTTTCATGACAGAGTAACTAGCAAGGTCATCTTTCTAACCGACATTAAATGCATTTCATCTCAAGGGGAGAAAGGATTAAATTTCCCATGATGTCAATCTTTTGTTGTCGGAATTTGCTAACCATTCATTTGCTCGAATAGAATGTTCTATTTATGATCCCTAAAATAGCCCATGGATCCGAGAGAGATTATGTGGCTTGGAGTTGCTTGATGGTCGTTGAGCAGGTGAGGTGGTGCCTGCTCCAATTTCTATAGTCTGCAGCCAGTTGTTTGCCCACAAGCGCAAGGGTTTGCAGCTGTGGCCTGTGTTTCCCCTAACTTGAGAAACCAAGGTATCGGTGTGTACTGTGTAGAGTTAACAATAAAAAAAGGCACCTTTTGCCCCTGATGGTTCTGATGAGGGTGTCAACCTCATTAGCTTTGTTAGTTGCAACAAGTAACGAGTAGATATTGTAGTATTAAGTTGTTTGTATTTTCAGTACAAATAATGATAGTAAACAAAAACACAAGGAATTGAGATTTTGTGTGTGTG